TGAGAGGAGAGAGATATAATATTTTAATGTATTGTTCTGCCAAAAAGGAAATGTATCACATAAAAAAACACGGCCGGAAATGAAAAATGTATTACTTAAAAAAACACGGAGGGAGTAAAAAATTAAATTTTAGATATTACAAAACTGCACATTAAGGCGAAAAAAAAACACACACACAGATGACTATTTCATACACAAATTAAATGTTATAATTCAAAATGTTGTTGAATTAATCTAAATATTTCTTAAACATTACGAGTAGATTTTATAATTTTTCACTAGTCAAAAATTAGGGGATTCCTTGGTCATTATTATTATTATTTTTATTTTTTTTGTTAATCATAAATTTAATTATCGCAAATAATAAGACTACAGAGTATATATATATATAATTTACTATCGTGAAGGGAGGTTATGTTTATTATAAGATGAGTTGTCTACAACCCCATTTCATTGGAAATTTTTAGCGTAATAAAGTATACACAAAGTTTGACTCATGACTAATTTTATGATAAATCAGTAATAATCACCGTCATTACAGAGAATCATGGCGTTAAATGGGCTGGTCTGGGATTGTTTACTAGATGATGACTTTAGCACGTCTTAATGCAGATAATGAACATTCTTAAACTTGATTAATACCATAATTATAAAATCTTTGGTTTGTACATGAATTGTGTTTCAATGTCCAAAGACTTTCCATTCCTTAAGACAATTTTATGTTATGAGAACCACATTTAGGTAGTACTTCCATACCACTAATTATGAGTTGTTGGATGGATGTTCTCATAATTCTTGTCATATTTGGTTACTTATTAGTCATTTGATGTAGGGAGTAGTTGTTAATAAATATTAGGAAAATTTTTAAATTACCACCCTAAAATATATCTATTTTCTAAATAATCACCCGTTTAATTTTTTATTTTATTTTATTTTACCACCCCTTAAATTAAAAAACTACTTAATTTACCACCCATTTCAAAATTCAAGTGAATTTTTCGTATGTGAGCCCCACCCAACGACTCTTAGTGGTAAAAGGAAAAAGATGATCAGTAGTAGTGGCAATTCAGACAGCATGCTCTTGGTTTTTTTAGTTGTTTTCTTTTGGTTTTGGGTTGTCTTGTATTCAATAAATTAGTTTAAGGGGGAGACATAACTGTTACTAGCCATTGGGTGGGTCCTCATAATAGAATTTCATCAGAATTTTGAAATAGGTGGTAATCTGAGTAGTTATTTAATTTAAGGAGTGGTAAAATAAAATAAAAAATTAAACGGGTGGTTATTTTGAAAATGAATACATTTTTGGGTGGTAATTTAAAAATTTTCCTATATATTACTTCGTTTTTAATTTGGACTCTTCATTGTCCAAAAGCCAGTAGTCATGTTAATTTTAAGATAGGCGGCCTCAAATTTTGTCATACTTTTTCTTGCCTTTGATTTTTCTTCCTCAACTTTTCACAAACCTGATTACATTTCTGGAAATTCATCGCGCTACTTTGTAGTCCAAGAAAAAACTTATTTTAAGTGGTAGTATTTAGAGGTATCAAAACCTAATTCGACCTAATTGATTTAAAAAAATATCCGATTTAAATTTTGATTCACATGGACACAATATTTTAACATGATTTAAGTTTAAAATTAGACTTGATCCAACCCGACTTCTTCAAACCCGACCCTGAGATCCAAATTGACACATCTAGTAGTTGTAGTTGCTTATATGTAGGATTGTTAGTCTATTTGTTAAGACTAGCTGTAAATTTGCAATAACTTTATAAATCCTACCCCTAAGCACCCTCTTTTAGCATAATTCAAATTTCATATCTTTAGAATTTGGGGTAAAAACCTTATCAAGGGAACTAACACTTTAATGGAAAAATCTTATGCATGAAAGAAAAAAAAAATTAGGAACATAATTCGTGTAAGGAGGAGAAATATACTAGTGATGTATCGTGTATGTTGTTTGTCTATGTTTGTTATCAAAAAGTAGACACGGTACTCCCTTCTTTTTTTTTTTTTTTTTTAATTTACACGTGTATTGAGATATGATTTTGATCATTATTTTCTCCAATTGTACATTAATAAACATTATAAGAAAATTAATAGTATGAAAGTATATTTATGATGAATCCAAAGTACTATACAACAACATTTGTGTTTTATGAATTAGAAAAATAAAATAAAATAAAATAAAAAATTAGCATTAAAAAATATGAAAAGAGTATAATAAAACCAATTATGGTGTAGTTTCAAATTTTCAATTCCTTTAAAATTTGTTTCTTGACCCAAAAGCTTTCTTGGGCTTCTTGGTTACCATTTTATTGATGATTTACAATCTTAATCACAAATAAAGGTGGTATGACTCGTATGAGAATGTTATGCCTTCGATCTCACTCATTTCAGCATGTCGGACCTAGACCTGATTGTAGGCCGTGCCAGGCTTTTACGATAAAAGTTGGCCATTTGGGCCAGAATATCGGACTTTTTGGGCCATTTTAGGCCTAAACACTTGTATCCAAATTTATTATTCAGGCCAAAAGACTGGGTTTTTTGGGCCATTTCAGGGCTGACCAATTTATAACTGAAAATAAATTTTAGGTCCATCCAAAACCTCAATTAGTATTATGTGCACCATGGTGCACTTAGAAATAGGTGCACCACTCTTATACTTTTGAACATTTAGTAAAAAAAATTTGAACATTTTACAAAAATATGAACATCTAGTAAAAAAAAATATGAACACGTCACAAAAACTGAACATAAACATGCAATTTTTATGTTCATATTTTATAAATAAATGTTCATTTTGTATACATTAAATGTTCAGTTTATATTACAAAACTATAGAATTATTACGAGTTAGACAAACTTCTTTCAAAATTTGTTTGACTTGCAATAATTCAAAATTTGTGATTGTTCGTATTTTTTACTAAATGTTCAAATTTTGTTATTGTTCATGTTTTTTTTACTAAATGTTCAAAAGTATATGTGTGGTGCATTGTGTTTGTTCAGATTTTTTTACTAAATGTTCAAAATTTGCGATGTTCAGATTTTTTTTACTAAAGTTCAAAACTCGCGATTGTTCAGATTTTTTTACTAAATGTTCAAAAGTATAGATGTGATGCATTGTGATTGTTCAGATTTTTTAACTAAATGTTCAAAATTTGCGATGTTCAGATATTTTTACCACATGTTCAAAATTTGCAATTGTTCAGTTTTTTTTACTAAATGTTCAAAAGTATAGGTGCACCATGGTGCATCTTAAAACTTAAATAAAGTAAAAATCTAACTGGATTAGCTTGAGCTCGTATTAAAAATTCTACCCAAATTCAGACAATTTTCAGGTTGAGTCCAATTGGGTCAGACCAAGCACTCCTAATCCCAATTGTGACATTTGGTATCTAGTATGTACAATGTTGTCAATGTACTTTTGTCACGTCTTGTTCTTTTTCATATTGGATCAGCTCGATCTTATGACATCTTTAATTAAAAAAGTCAAATATATTTATATTTTCTATCATATAATGTTACAATGAAAGCATATATAGTATAACCATTTATGAGATTGATCAAAAGACTATTTAAGATGGAGTGAACGGACTTATGACTTGTCTATATCATATGTATCACAAGCCAACTTGGTTGTGAACATTTGTCAATTAAGCAACTAGATATTTATTTTGCACAGTTCCTACAACTAGTCTTACTGTAAAGATTATGAAAGCTACATGCACATGGCATGTCTTGAAATTCTTGTCTTCCTATTGAAGTTGTTAGTTGTGTGAGGGAGGAATCTGTCATTTTGTAGATTCAGTCACTTGTTTTCTCATTGTGAAAAGTGTCCATATATAGATAAGATTCCATGAGATATATTAGATTTTATAGGTTACCATCACTTGTGATAAGTTGATTAAAATTGAAAAGGTAGTAAGGCCGGTTCACTTCAGCTTAATTTCAGTTCAGTTCAGCTCCAATCAGTTCAATTCAGTTCAATTTAACTACATTCAATTCTGTTCAGCTCTTAATTTTCTTCTCTCATAAAATATTCATCTCAGCTCTATTCAGTTCAGTTCAGTTCAGCTCCAATTCGTTCAATAATTAAATGTACATTACAATTTGGTGCATCATAGATCTTGAATAACACCCCTTTAAATACTTACCAACTGACATAGTTAGCATTTCCTAGATTTACATATGAACAGGTTAGTTTCACTATTTTGAGACTATTTGTCTTTATTATACTTGGAGAGTGGTCCTTTTGAAATTATGGACCTTTATCTCTTGGATTTTTTTTTTTTATTATTATTTTTTTTATTTTTTTTGCCTTTTGGAATTTTATAAACATCCATAATCTCTATATGTGAAATTATTGGACTTTGGTACTACATCCTACATAATTTTATTTATTTTTTGGTCGTTAAGGTAGTTGACGTAGCTGGTTCCAACTAAAAATGGCAACGGATCAGATTCGGGTCGGATGTGGCTAAATAATCCGAATCCAATCCGTTTAGTAAATGGACCGTGGACTCGGATCCGAATCCAAGTATGCATCCGATCGGACTCATAATTTTCGGATCCGAATCCGGTCCGTTTATATGATCTCCGAAATAATCATTTTTTTTTTTTTTGGTTTTTTTTTTTTTTTGTAATGTTATATACCTATAATTGCTTGTATTGTCATACCAAATAAAGTTTAAACATAATATATTTAAATTATAAACTAAGTTACATAACAAAATTTTGCATAAACAAGCAAATAATTGTTTCAAGTTAAAAAGCTTATGCTCATACTACCGGATTCGGACTCGGATCGGACTCTGTCGGACTTTGTGTAAGGTCCAAGTCCGATCCGCCTCCTATTCGGATTCGGATTCGGACTAATTTTAAGGGGATTCGAATCAGATTTTTTTTTCTTCAAATTGAACTCGGATTAAATTGTCATCCCTAGTCCCAACTCTACACAGGTCGGGGTTTGATCCAATGACCTTGAGGTCAAACCTTAAACCACTAGGTGAAGCTTGAAAATTTTAATTTAGTTTCTATCGCGTAGTCCAATTAGTCAATATTGGACTACGTAGCATTCTATTGGCAGTTTGAAAAGAGAATTATCTATAGGTGAAACCTTAAAAATTTTGGTTCCAGTAGCCTTGTTCAACAACTTTGTTTAACTGCTACATGCTAGCCTTAGATGATTTAGCAAAATTTTCAGTTCTATATTTTTATGATTCCCCTAAAGTTTGATTTATATGTTTAATGGCAATCAATATGATCTTATATTCGAGTTAATGTCTTTTACAGTCCGATGTTTGTCATGCTTACCAAGTGCTGAAGAAAGGAGGTTTAAAGGATGAAAATATCATCGTGTTCATGTACGACGATATTGCTTATGACATAGAGAATCCAAGACAAGGGATAGTCATCAATAGCCCTTATGGACATGATGTTTATGCAGGAGTTCCAAAGGTTTGATATGAAGTTCATCAAACTTAAAGATAATTTCCTGTTGAATGTTCTGTCAAAAATGTGCATTTCATCTAATAAAATGTGCTTAATGTTGCAGGATTATACAGGGGAAGACGTGACTGTGAACAACTTTTTAGCAGCTATACTTGGTAACAAAACAGCCATTACTGGTGGTAGTGGAAAGGTGGTTGATAGTGGACCTAATGATCACATCTTCATCTTTTACACGGACCATGGTGGTCCTGGGGTGCTCGGTTAGTGTTAACCCACTTTTTTATTGCTTTCTTCTTAATCATAATTTCTATTAATGTTTGTGTTCTTTGTATGCACGCTCTAATGGACTCGTGTATGAAACTCTTATGCGATAACTCAATTTAAGATTGCCCTGTAAGGAGGCTGAAATCCAAGTTTTCTTGGATTGTTTTTCTGATCCCCTGATACTTATAATATTTCATGCATTGTAATAATAACAAGTATTAATGAAGTGAAGAAATCCCAATGAAAATCCTAAACTTTTAACTGTCTTTTTTTATGCAGGTAAGGACATTTGAGAAGCATTGCGGATCACTATCTCAGTATGGAATGAAGCACATGCGTTCCATTGCAAACATCTGCAATGCCGGGATCACAGCTGATCAGATGGCTGAGGCTTCAGCACAGGCTTGTCCAAACTTTCCTTCTGGTCCTTGGAGCTCTGTGCACAGGGGATTTAGTGCCTGATGATATGATGCTGTGTAGTACTTGGTAAATATTTTTGTAAAATTGGTGCTTAATTCTATGTTACGCGATTTATGCTTTCTTCTAAGGCCCTGCAGCTAATCCTTGTAAATATAGCTCCCTATAAGTAAGATGCATATTAAATAGCCCATGTAACAAATTTTATGATGCATATATTTAACTAATACAAGAGTATTGTAGTAAATTCCTTGGATGCCTTCTACCACCTGTTTTTTTTTTTTTTTCCTTTCTTCGGGGGTGAATAGGTAAGTCACCACCAACAGACGATGCAGCAAATACACGATTCATTACATTCATACTATCTTAAGTTTTAGGGGCAGAATTAGGATTAAACCTGTGAGGACAATTAGCAGCTTTATCGCCTTGGTGACATGGATACCAACATAACCACAAGTATTGTTACTTCCTGCTATCACAATCACAATTGTGATGCAGAGTAAACAGAGTAAATTCAACTGAATCATGTTGAGTCACAGGAAATTGCATAACAGCCAAAGAATCAGCAATCACTTTACTTTCATGCAAATAAGCATCCATATAAATTTTCATAATATGAGTGAGCCTACTTTTTAATTCCATAGAATGAGCCATACTTAGCTTGCTTGCATGAAAAAAACTCTTTAAGTTGATCTACTCCAAACATTAGCAGAGGAACATAAGTCATGAACATCATTACAAACTTTGCGAGGTAAGGTGGCATACAACCAAGTGTCCAAGAGCGAACACATTGATCCATCCTTAAATACTCTTAAAATTGAGGAGTTCTTTGGAGTAGTTTTCAGGGTGATGATACTACTATGATAGGCCGACAATGAAGGAAGACGCAATGGACGAAACTAGGAGACTTGTGGAAGCAAACAACAAGTATAAGACCAGAGACGATGATTATAAGATAACTTCAAAAATAACAACTAATAATTGTCTAAGGCAACGCCTCGAGTCATTTCATACATATAATTTGAATTAAATGTTATCTAATTTGAAGAAAGCACAATGGCATTAAAGTGGTGCACCGTATTGGACAATGGCTATTGTAAGTATTATTATTAGACCGCCTTAATTCAGTGTCATTATTCTTATAAAAATAAACTAAATCTTTATTTTTTATCTTTAAAAAAATACGGCAATTTTCTTTTTGTTTCTTTAATTGCTTTAAAACGTCAATTTAGGGGTATTCTGAGTATTTCCATCATTAAAATTGGGGATTCGTTGATCATTTCACCTAGGTGACATGTTCATACGCCCACTTTGACGACGAATCGGTTGAACACGTAAGAAGACGGAGTTAACGCAATTCCTTCCATTCACTCACTAAACCTTCTTCATTCTCTCTCATCAAAGCTTCGTTCCTACCTTCATTCATCAATGGCAGCTGCATAGAAACACCACCTCCACCTTTCTCTCTCCGCCAGTCTCCACCCACCGTTTACCAGGCCAACACCGTGTTCTTGGTCACCCTTACCCTTTGGGGTTAACCAAGTCCTTAATTTCACCTTTTATTACTTGGGTTTTTGTTTAATTCGGCAACGGAGCTGCCAGAGGTGGTGGTGTCGATGGACAGTTTAACCAAGGAAGATTGTGGTGTTGGTGGACATGATAAATTGAAGTAGTGTCGGTGGTAGCTTCAATGGAGGAAATAAGTAGCGTTTACAAATCGCTTACCTACGTGTCTATATGCACTACTGAGTCTTCACGATCTAACTTCAAATTCTGAGTTGGCGAAATAGATTGACAACCTAAAACAATAACAAAGATTAACTGGGTGTCCCTCTAAAAATGTCATATATTTAGTGAGTGAATGTAAAATTATCGTACATATCACCAAAATGAAAAACAAACACTATCGTACGTATCACCATTAATGAGATTGAATGATAGTCTATCTAGAATGAACTGCATATAATCCATATAATGAGCCAACTTAGTTGTGAACATTTATGTTTCTGTTAATTAATTGGAAAATGCTATACATAGACTTTAGGGCTACATATAAGCATTAAAAATACACTTGAAAACTGTTTAAATTTAGAAAGTCATGACAAATTCACATTAATTACACTGATCTACGCGTGTTTTTGTCATGAATTTCTAATTTTATACAATTTTCAAGAGTAGCATTACCCTAATTAATTTAAGAAAATTTTGCAAAAAACCACCTTTTATAAGCATTTTTTTTTACAAGAAATCACCTTATAAATTTTTTTTGCAATGACACACCTTAATCAAATTTTTTTTTGCAAATCAATACCTTTATGTCAGAAAATGAGGTTTGACCTCATTTTCCGGCGTTGACTACCCCAATCCACCTAAGAAACCACCTCTCTCCCCAGCCCCACCTAAGAAACCACCTCTCTCCCCAGCCCCACCTAAGAAACCACCTCCCTCCTACGCCCCACCCACAAAACCACCATTTCATGGCGTTGACCACCATAAACACACCCCCTTTTACGGCGTTGACCACCCTAAACACACCCCTTTAACGACGTTGACCACCCTAAACCTTCCTCTATAGCCCTAGCCACCCTTCTCCCCTCCACTGTCAGTTTTGTGGGTACAAATGGCGTAGTCAACGCCAAAAAATAGGGTTTGACTCTATTTTCCGGCATAAAGGTATGGTTTTGCAAAAAAAACTTTTGATTAAGGTGTGTCTTTGCAAAAAAAAAAAATTATAAGGTGGTTTCTTGCAAAAAAAATGCTTATAAAAGGTGGTTTTTTTGTAAAATTTCCTTAATTTAATAGGCTATTTTTTTGTTTTGCATAGTTCCAACGACTATTCTCTTAGGACTTGTTTGGTTCACCTTATTTTCACTTATCTAAACTTATCTGATCTAGTCTGGTCTGGTTTGATTTAAATATCAGATTTGACCAAACTTTGACCTTAATTATACGATAATCTATATGGAAAAACTATATCAAGTGGGGTTTTGTTAGATTTGTAATAATGTGTATTTTATTAATATGTGATTTTTAGAATTTTTTTCATTATGAAATTAAAGATATTTAGCGATAAAAACCTGCACATAAACGAAGATAAAGAAATTACTATGTTTTTAATTATAACACCACTTGACATATTTTTAAAAAGAAAATATATGTCTTTATTCACATTGTAAATACCTAATATACTTTTACTTTTAACACTTGATTCTTTAATTTATTCTTAGGTCCTATTCACTTCACCTTAAAAAAATATTAAGTAAAAATAATTTTAGTTCGGTAAAATTAAGTAAATATATAGAAGAAATATAATAGAAAATCAGTAAAAATAATCTCTGTTCAGCAAAAATAATTTCACTTTAGTAAAATTAATTTTAATTCAATAAAAATAAGGTGAGATGAACAAAGCCTTATACTACGTATTACATGGTCAATTTTGTACTTTTATCTCTCTCTCTCTCTCTCTCTCTCTCTCTCTCTCTCTCTCTCTCTCTCTCTCTCTCTCTCTCTCTCTCTCTCTCTCTCTCTCTCTCCGATAAAAAAGAGAGGAAGTATACTATAGTATACTATTGCTATAGCCTGTATAGGTTATCAATTGACACTGGATTTTGTATGATAATTTTATTTTATTTGTCTTTTTAGATACAATTTCTATTTCAATTACTTGAGCTGTCTTTGATAACAACAGATGAAAAGGATTTCAATTTCAATTAATGGACCATAAATTGTCACTTGTACTGTTGCACATATACGAGTATAAGAAAAGTATGGCCAAGAGGAATTAGTTAGTTAGAAACCAAGTATAGCTTAGTCTAGTGGTAAGGTTTGCATCTCACAAGCTTGAGGTATTGTGGGATCAAACCCCACTAAAGGCATTTTAGGTGAGAATTCCCTTACACCCCCCCCCCCCACCCACCCTCCCTCAAAGTGTCTACCCCCTAATCTGGCCGGAAGAATCTGTAAGAGTTGAGGTTCCGATTCAATAGAACCCTTCTCCTACCAACAGAAAGATAAAGGAGGAATTAGTTACAAATAAATGTCGTCTCAATTTATGTTTCGTTAAATTAGTATAGTTTAGAGATTGGGTCCATGCAACTATTATGAAATGGATATAGTATACTCCATATAATAATAGCATTAAACACCAATTATCTGTAAGTAGTTGGCTAGTATGGCTACCCAAAAAGGAAAAAGCCACACCATCCTGGCATCCTTAATCCTTTATTCCTTTTTATGTATTCTACAAGTTTAAAATTTAGGTAATTTTGACTTTTATCACTTTTTTTTTTTTTTTTTTTTTTTGGTTTCGAGAGTCACAAGGGCGGGTGATGTAGAATTGGTCCCAGGATCCCCCTGAATCGGGAGAAAAGCTCTAACCACCTGAGCTCACTCTCAACTGATCTGAACTAAAAACAAGTCCAAAAGAACAGGACCATAGGGTTCCAGCAGTGCAATTTAATTGCTGCCAAGCCAAATGGTTAAAACTTACCCCGCACCTTAAACATTCCAAAGCCAAGCAATCGATTACTTTTATCGCCTTCAAAGAACTACTTAATTGAATTTACCACCTCCAAAAAAAAAGGATTTACTTTACCACCACATTAAAAAAAAACGATTTACCACCTAATTCTAGCTCCAGTGATGGAAACTGACTGTGGGGCCCACCTGAGTAACTATGGCATGAATGAATGAACAAAAGGGTTTCTTTTTCAATGGCTAGTTTGATGAAATTATTATCTTCTTTTGTAAAAATATTTATGTTCTTGGTAAAGCCATGTTTTTTGTAAAAAATAAACATGTGCTTTTGTCAAATACAAATATGTTCTTTTTCAAACACTGGTATATTCTTTTCGTCTTTTTATTTTTACCAAGTGCACAGATCAATCACTACTTAAATTTTTTTACATTGACAAGCGTGATAAATAATATAGATCAAGTAACAAAGATCGGATGAAGTTATTACTACTCATAATTAATATACTGAAAATAAAAATAAATTGGAAGGTTGTTGATTGTGACCAGCTACCCACAATCTCTAACGTGTAAGCTGTTAGTGCGGAATTTTCATGACGCGTCTTGGAGTTCATATGTCAACTAGCAGCACGAGTCAAAGGCAGTAACTGACGTCTCTATAATTCAGGAGTCCGTTTGACTAGGAATGCATATCCGATTGGTTTTATCATTTAAAAAAAAGATCTGTTGTTCAAGTCAGGAGGAAAAGGTCAATTAACTGACTTCCTAGAATCACGGAAGATAATCATTGAGCTTCAACGGATAACGACGGATCTGAGAAGGTTAATTGCTTATAAATAGATACTCTTGTAACCTGAGAAAGGCAGTTCAATACTTAGCAATCTCTAAGCCATAAAAATACATTGTAATGTTCGACCACTCATAGTACAATCGGTGGATTTCTCCCACCCGCAGTTTTTCCCTTTATACTGGGTTTTCTGCGTCAACAAAATATCGATGTGTTCAATCTTTGTTCTTTATATTTGATTATTATTAGCTTAATCTGTCTAGCCGTCGACGTCCCAGCCTAACGTCGTCCCGTGACGATTTTTGGCATTAACAATTTGGCGCCCACCGTGGGGCCGACGACTAGATCTCATTCGTAAAACCTCAAAAAACACTTCCCTTTCAACAAAAGATCCTTTCTGCCAACATGGTTTCTTCAGGAGATGTGACGTTGGAACAGTTAATGCAAGAAGTCCGTAGGACTCAGGAAGACCTTGCAAGGCAAAAAGCTGAGAACGAGCGTCTGGCGTCTGAAAGCCAAAAGACCGTAGATTCTCTGCGGAAGGAGTTAGAGTCCGTCAAAAGCAAGGCCCTGAAAAAGCGCCGCAGCACTCACGATATTTCATCCATGATGAACCTAGACTCAGAGGATGATAGCGACAACAAGGATGACGACGAAGGAGGAGGAGAGGACGGCAACGCCTTCAACGACGGAGACGAAGTCGACCCAACGGCCCAGAAGCTGAAGCATATTGAAGTCCAGAACGCTAAGCTGTTGCGCTTGTTGAAGAAGCTGCCAGGAGCGCCAGTCCCAACCGTGACGGAAGAGCCAGATGGTTATGTCGCGTCGCCGTTCGTGGACGAGATCTTTATGGCAGACATCCCTCGAAGACTCAATATCCCTCCGCCGGCAAAGCTCTATGACGGAAGCACTGGTCCATTAGAGCACGTCAACCATTACAAGCAGCGGATGTGGCAATATTCCATCCCGCGCGATATGCTCGAGCCTGTCCTCTGCAAATCTTTTGGAGCAACTCTTACTGGCCCTGCTTTAGAATGGATGTGCGATCTGAAAATAGGGTCTATTACTAATTTTCAAACTTTGTGCAACAGGTTTTATTCGAAATTCAACAATATTTGCAAAGTGGAGAAGCAAACCAGTGACCTATACCGCGTCGTACAGCGCAATGGAGAAACAATTAAATCCTACTTCGGACGCTTCAACAAAGAAATGATCGGGATCAAGAATTATGACGTCCGTACAGCCATTGAAGCCTTCAAGAGGGGATTATTCCCTGACTCGGAGCTTTATAAAGAGTTGACCAAATATCCATGCATATCATTCGAAGAGGTCAGAACAAGGGCTTTAGCTCAGATGCGGTTAGAAGATGATCTTGCAGCCAGGAAAGGCGTCAACAGCCTCAATAGCCTCAACCCATCCAGCAGCGACATAGTCGACAGACGACCTTCTAACCCCGAGAAAATTTGGCATCGCAGGCCCTATGACAGGCCTAATCAGGTAAATAACGTCGATAATGTTACTGATGCTAACCCTATGCCATTAAATGCAGATGAAAGGTCTGACGTCGAGTCGTATCCCGACGTGGAAGAGTATGGCTTCTGTGTCGACATTGGGGGAGTGGTAAATTCCCTTCATTCATTAGGGCCCGCAGCCAGATGGCCCAGGAAGAGTGACAAGCCTGACGAAGAAAAGGACAAGTCTAAGTGGTGTGATTACCATAGCGATCATGGTCACAAGACCGAAGAATGCAATGGCTTAAGACGCGAGGTGGCGTACCTGTTGAAGAAAGGTTACCTGAAAGAGCTGCTAGGCAAGGGAAAATCAATTAAAAAGGACGCGACCGACAAGCAACCCCCGAAGGGGCCGACTGTGACCAAGGTAATTCACGTCATCTCTGGTGGATCAGATATATGTAGACTAACGTATTCTGCAACCAAAAAAGCGGCCATGAGAGACGCGTCAGAAGATTCCATTCCCGAAGACGTCAGGGCAAACCAGGACAAAGCCTTGGAAGCCATGACAATCTCCTTCGACGACTGCGACCTCGGAGACTGCCGCGAAGAGCATCATGATGGGCTGGTCATTTCTGTAAGTATAGGCAACTGCTTGCTCAAGAGGGTCCTGGTAGATGGAGGAAGCTCAACGAATTTCCTCTTCAAAGATACGCTCGAAGACATGGGCATAGATGCAAGAGACGTGGTCAGAAGATCCGCGGTACTGGTAGGTTTCAGTGGTGAGGCACTTAATACTAGTGGTGAAATTGTTTTTCCTACTTTTGCAGGAGGAATCAACCTTCAAACCAAATTCAACGTCGTGGATTGCCCGTCGACATACAGCGCCATCATAAGACGCCCTTGGATTCACAAAATGAAAGCTGTCCCATCAACCTATCATCAGAGTTTAAAATTCCCTACGAAATGGGGAGTCCAAGAGATCAAAGGAGAGCCCAAAGAAGCCAGAATTTGCTACAGCTCTACATTAAAGCCAAGCAAGGGGACAGCGTAGCAATAACAACATGGACCAGCGTCGGACGAACCAGATGATCAATCCATCGACGAAATAGCGCTGGATCCTAGCAAACCTGAGCAAACCGTCAGAATCGGAGCTTCCTTAGACTCAGGTATGAGAGAAGACCTCATTTCGTTTCTTAAAGCTAATGCAGATTGTTTTTCTTGGACGCACGAAGATATGACAGGTATAAGTCCCGACGTCATTACGCACAAATTGAACGTCGACCCAAGCCATCGTCCAGTAAAACAGAAGCGCATGAAGTTTGCACCAGAGAGAAACCGGATTATCAACGAGGAGGTGCAGAAGTTAATCGAAACAGGGAAAATCAGGGAAGTAAAGTACCGTGACAGGTTAGCAAACGTCGTCGTAGTGAGCAAGAAAAACGGCAAGTGGAGGGTGTGCATCGACTTCACCGATCTCAATAAAGCGTGTCCCAAAGACCCATTCCCTTTGCCTCACATCGACGCAATGGTCGACGCCACGGCAGGACATGAGTTGCTTACGTTCATGGACGCCTACTCTGGATATAACCAAATACTGATGCATCCGGAAGATCAGGAAAAATCGGCGTTCATGACGGATAAAGGTATATATTGTTATAAGTTATGCCCTTTGGACTAAAAAATGCAGGTGCAACATACCAAAGACTAGTGAACAAGATGTTCAAGGACCAGCTAGGAGACACAATGGAAGTATACATCGACGACATGCTGGTCAAATCTAAAAAGGCGCCAGACCACATCTCCCACCTTAAACAATCTTTCGACGTCCTGCGTCAATACGGTATGAAACTCAACCCTACTAAATGTTCCTTTGGAGTATCTGCAGGAAAATTTTTAGGGTACATTGTGACGCAATGAGGAATCGAAGCAATCCCTGACCAAATTAAAGCAATAATAAACATTCAATCTCCGAGGAACGTCAAGGAAACACAAAAATTAACAGGACGCGTCGCCGCGCTGAGCCGCTTCATTTCCAAATCTTCAGACAAATGCCACTTGTTTTATGACGTCCTCAGAAAAAATAAGGGGTTCGAATGGACTGAGCAACATGAAAAGGCTTTGCAAGACTTAATATCTTACATGATGACTCCTCCGTTGCTGTCGAAGCCAAAGTTGAACGAAACGCTGGAATTGTACCTAGCCGTTAGTGTCGTCCTCGCAAGAGAAGATCAAGGGCAGCAACTGCCCATTTATTACATAAGTAAGTCTCTGCTCGACGCAGAGACCGGGTATTCTTCCGTTGAGAAACTCATACTTGCTTTATATACAACCGTCAAAAAATTACGTCATTATTTTGAAGCTCACCCAGTGGTGGTGAGGACTAACTTTCCCATTAAGTCTGTGTTGCATAGGCCGGAATTAACAGGTAGACTCGGCAAATGGAGCATATACCTCAGCACATACAACATCACCTACCGACCCAGAACCGGTATCAAATCCCAGGCACTTGCCGATTTTGTGGCAGCCTTCAGCCCAGAACTCGAGACGTCAGCATGCAAAGAATTGGATGAAATCAACAACGTCATAAAGCAAGCTATTTGGACTATGTTCTGCGATGGATCGTCTAACCAGAGAGGAGCAGGATTAGGAGTCGTGCTAAAGTCGCCACAAGGGGAGTTAATAGTGCAATCCATCAGCTGCGACTTCAAGGCAACGAATAACGAAGCAGATTACGAAGCCTTAATAACGGGGAAGAAGATAGAACAAGACTTACAAGATATAGGGCTCAACGTCTTCAGCGATTCGTTACTAATCGCCAGTCAATTAAACGGAGAATTCGCCGCAAAAGATTCCAAGATGATAGCATACCTCGAAAAAGCAAAAACCCTAGCAAAGACATTCAATCCATTCACTATCAAGCAAATCCCTAGAGACAAAAATACCCAGGCTAACGCCTTAGCTAACCTAGGGTCGGCCCTCAGAAAATCACCCTTCTCCAGTATACCCCTCGTCCACCTAACGGCACCATCAATTGACGCCGCATCAACACCAGACATCATGGAGATAACAACCGAAGACAATTGGACGATGCCTATCCTAAAATATTTAAGAGACGACGCCCTCCCTGACGATCCCCTGGAAGCAAGGAAAATAAGGTACAAAGCGTCCCGATACACCATTTTACATAACGTATTGTTCAAAATGTCTTCCACGGGTCTCCTCCAAAGATGTTTAGTAGGCGATGAACAATGGGAAGCGCTACAAGAGCACCACGACGGTGATTGCGGAAGCCACGCTGGAGCTAGAGGATTAGCAACCAAGCTGCTCAGGATGGGCTATTTTTGGCAAACCTTGAGAAAAGACGCAGAAAAATACATTGCAAAATGCGACAGCTGTCAGCGTCACACATGAGTGTCACATCAACCCCCGGAAGGATTGCACCCCACGCTGTGTCCTTGACCGTTCATGAAATGGGGAATGGACATCGTGGGCAAGCTACCTCAAGCTCCAGGGCAAAAAGTCTTCATGTTAGCCATGACGGATTATTTTTCAAAATGGATCGAGGTCGACTCATTCACTCAGGTACGCAACAAAGAAGTTATATCTTTTATATGGCGCAACATTATATGCAGGTTTGGCATCCCATCCGAAATCGTGTGCGACAATGGATCCCAATTCATTAGTGACAAGACAAGAAGATTTTGCGAAAGATGGAATATCAAGCTATGCACGTCCACCCCCAGATATCCGCAAGCTAATGGACAGGCGGAATCAAGCAACAAAACCATCATTGCATCACTAAAGAAAAGGCTAAAAGAAGCTAAAGGAAAGTGGGCAGAAGAGTTGCCCTCCATCTTATGGGCAAATAGGACAACCCCAAGGACGTCAACAGGGCAAACGCCTTTCTCCTTGGTATATGGGTGCGAGTCAGTACTCCCGTCAGAAGTCCGCATTCCAACAGCAAGGTATGGCCTCATGACGACAGAGCAAAATGATGAAGAGATAGTCACCAACTTGGACTCTAGTGAAGAGCTACGTGAAGCAACGTTCATAAGAATGGCAGCCCAGCAACAGGTAGTATCAAGATGCTTCAATAAAAAAGTCAAGGCGAAATTTTTCAGAATCGGCGACTGGGTGTTAAGGAGAGTCTTCCAGAACACCAAAAATCCCGCAGACGGTAAGCTCGGCCCAACATGGGAAGATCCCTACCAGATCGTCGACATCGCAGGTAAGGGAGCGTATAGACTCGTGTCTAAAGAAGGTAAGATCGTTCCACGCAGTTGGAATGCTACATATTTAAAATATTATTAATTTTAATTCAGTGTTACCGTTAAAATTTCAATTCCTTTTTAGTTCTTGAATAAAAACCACTATATTTTCTTTTATTTCGAGTACTGACTTTAGCATCGGAGGGCCGTTGGCAAAAACGCCAACGACCAAGTCTAACGTATGTTTTGCAGTATACTTCAAGATGGACGCTAGAGCACATAAAATGTTCAACGCTGAACGCATATGAGTCCAGAAGCATCGGCGTCGTCATCAAACATTGGAGGCAAACATGGGCAATAACGCCAGTGGCTTTGACGCCAGATTCGGCCTTAGACGCCAGTGGCCTTGATGCCAGATTCTTAAACAGCCTTGACGCTAGATTCGGCCTAGACGCCAGTGGCCTTGACGCCAGATTCTTAAACGGCCTTGACGCCAGATTCGGCCTTAGACGCCAGATTCGGCCTTGAACGGCTTTAACGCCAGATTCGGCCTTAGACGCCAGTGGCCTTGACGCCAGATATGTAAATGGTTTTATTACCATCAAATCCTTAGCAAATATTGCTGTAATCATTTAAAACATTCTCCTATGTAATTCTTTTCTTTGCACCATTTCTTGCAACTCCTACTAAGATGTAATCACATCTGGTTCGCGATAATATTATAAAAGCAAAAGCGTAAGTATTTTCTGGAATGCATGTCAATGAAATATTGCAGGAAGCGAAACAAAAGCAAATTGTTCAAAGTACAAAACGCCCAAAACACAAAGTACCAAAAGTTTACTAGTTCAAAAATAAACAAGTCAAGCATAAAATCAGAAGAAAGAGACATCAACAGTCAAGCGTCACAAGCAGCTTCCTTAACGCCCTGATCTGGCCCAGTGGTGCAAATTGGAGCTTCAGCCAAGACGTTAGACGTATCCACAAAGGTCGGCATAGACTCAGCTGTAGACTTTGAATCCTCATCATCTTTCTCTGTCTCCGACGCAAGATCAGCCTCAGTACCTAGTTGCGCGAGGAAGACGTCCACCTCTTTCTGAGCATCTTCCTTCGACAGACGACCAGCCAGGAAACGTCTCAGCACCTTGGCATGACCGGTCAGCTGGTCAAAACACTTGGAGTCCTTGGCATCCTCCTGGACTTCAATTAGCTCTTTTTCCAAGTCAGTTGCGCTCTTAGTCAGGTCAGCTACTTTCTGATTTAATTCCTTGACGTCATCTTTTAATTTGGCGACCTCCTAATTCTTCTCTCCCAAAAATTTCTGCGCAGCCTCCAGCGAGCGTTTAGCTTTGGCTAGTTCCTCATTGTTGGCATGAGTCTCCCCCCTGGCACTGGTAAGCGCTGCTTTAATAGTACGCATCTTTTTTTCGTTAGAAATAAAATGGCCTCTGATGGCCAGCATATCCTGAAAAGACTGCAAAAAAATATGACGTCAGAAGTCATACGTCAAGAAATGATCAGATGAAAGGGAACGGATTTCTTACGTTCAATTGTAGGTTTATGGCCTCACTCACTATCTCCGGAGCAGAAAACTGACTTAAACGCTTCGCAGAACCAGGGAAGAACACTTCTCTGTGGTAGGCCACAGCGACGCAGCATTAGGTTCCCCAAACAAGAAGCAAGCAGGAACCTTGACCTCATATTCTTCCTCCTTAACTTGTATCTTTGGCGTCAACTTCTTTCTCTTTTTCATAGCCCTTTCCAACATCTCCGTATGGGGAATGGAAAGAGCCTTGCTCTTAGAAGAATGGGCGGCGTCTGAAGAAAGCCGAAAAGGAATTAGAAGAGGGTATGCGAGTTCCTTCAAAGAAGTTTCACGGGATGCGACGTTACCTGAAACCATGGTTGTAATCTCGTCGAGAAATCTCACGTCTTCCTCTGAATCTGAGCCGGATCGCTCTGAAGTGTCAGCGCCAGTACTAGGAAACGTCCTGTCCTTCAAAGGGAACCTCAGAAAGGCTCTTACTTTGCCGTCACTCTTATCCCCCGCAACAATGGCGTTCACGTCAATCACTGCAAAACGACACATATAAGAAAAGGTGTCAACAACAAACATTAATGAACGACGGGGACAAAACAAAATGCACCTCCGCCGCGCCATCCAGTCCTCATCCATTGGGCGCCCTCCCCAAGAGTTTCCTTGTCAACGAATACATAGCGTGTCTTCCATCCACGATCATTGGTATTCACATTCCCAACCAAAGGAGAACGACCACGTCGCACATGGAGGGTACACCTGTTAGAAGCCTTGACGTGGATCTTGTACACATGAGCTAAATCGGAAAGATTGAACGGATCTTCCCAACTTTCAGTAACTTTCGCAATTACTTGCGCAACTCTCCAGACTAGAGGCATCACTTGCCCTGGGCTCAGATCAAGCACTTCCATGAAGGAGCGGGTCAAAGCATTAAATTGGAAATTAAACCCCAGCTTAAAGGGATATTCATAAAAGACGACGTGATTTCAGGACAGTCTTTAGGACGCTAGTCATTGGAAGGGACTATCATCAGAGCACTCTCGGGGAAGCCCGCCATGGAAGAGAAGGACGGAAGTTCCCCTTCTGTAATTGTACTTGCAGGGTTCTCGTTCGTCGCCATGATATCAACAGGTAAATCAATAGATTTCTCCAAAATTCTAAGTGAAAACCTAGATCTAGAGCTACCCCCTTCATTTCGAAGCAAAAATATTGAAAAAATTAAAAGATAAAGTCAAAGAAATTACCTGAACGCGAAAGGAAAGATCGCACTGGAATTATTCAAGGAGCTCAACCGGAATCCTTTGATTTAGAGTATTTGAAAATTTTTGAAAAAGTTTGGAAGCGAGTTGGAAAAATTAACTTCTCAATTAAATCAGCATTTATAATGAGTAGTTAGCAGTTATCTCATCAAAGGAAGTGGGAAAACGTGAAAAGACATGGAAGTTGAAAAATCTGGACAAGCTAGAGTAACGGTCAGATTATTCAGGGTTAGTGCGCTGTGTTGGCATTGTAAGATTGTTCCTTCGAATCTCGAGGAATCCAAAGCAACAATCCGGGGTTAATTGTTAGTGCGGAATTTTCATGACGCGTCTTGGAGTTCATATGTCAACTAGTAGCACGAGTCAAAGGCAGTAACTGACGTCTCTATAATTCAGGAGTTTGTTTGACTAGGAATGCATATCCGATTGGTTTTATCATTTAAAAAAAAAAGATCTGTTGTTCAAGTCAGGAGGAAAAGGTCAATTAACTGACTTCCTAGAATCACGGAAGATAATCATTGAGCTTCAACGGATAACGACGGATCTGAGAAGGTTAATTGCTTATAAATAGATACTCTTGTAACCTGAGAAAGGCAGTTCAATACTTAGCAATCTCTAAGCCATAAAACTACATTGTAACGTTCGATCACTCATAGTACAATCGGTGGATTTCTTCCACCCGCAGTTTTTCCCTCTATATTGGGTTTTCTGCGTCAACAAAATATCGATGTGTTCAATCTTTGTTCTTTATATTTGATATTATTATTCGCTTAATCTGTCTAGCCGTCTTCGTCCCGTGACGATTTTTGGCATTAACATACGCAAAGTCGCAAACGGCAGATTCCATTAGCCAAATTAAAATTGAAAAGTTGCCATATTGCACTATTCTCAATTAGTTCTAGTGTGGCGGAGTGGTTATGAATTTCATTAGATAATGATATATTGTCGGTTGGATCCTCCTAGTTTGATCAATCATGTATCTACTCTAAAAGAGTTGATTAAAAGCATAAATTTGGATAACTAGGTTGGATTCGGTTAAATTGGTTTGGGGTGGGTACATGTCAAGTTTGAGTTTTATTAATTTGTCAAATGATCGTACTCATATAAGTTAAAATACATTATGAATTAAGTTATGTATATTTGGTAAGATTAGATAAGGTCAGGTTTGATTTTGACACGTCTACAGCTCTACTATCAATATGACAGTTGACGAGATTGTAAATAGAGTACAATTGATTTATTTTTTTCTGGTACAAATGTCTCAATTTAGTAGTTACTTGTATGACTTATACCTTGACAGAATAAGTTATTCTTTTTATTGACAACTTTTAAAGTAATTTTTTTTTTATAATAAGTCGTTCGACCTTTGTTTACGAATGTGCACATGTGTATTTTGAGTTGAAATCCAAGCTTAAACAAGCTAAAATCGAGCTTGTTTTAATAAACAAGATTTAAGTTATATTTTTAAAAATTTATGTCTTTGACTTTATATCTATTCATTTAATTTTATTTAAGATTATGTCTATATACTCGGTATGATGAAATACTTTTGGCTTTTACGAACAAGTAAAAGTAAAAGATATGAGTATACATAGTACAAATAAATTAGTAGTTTTGAAATGTTATTGATTTATTCAACCTTTAACTAGATTATAATGGATATGAACAATCTTATAGACAAACCTAAACGAGATGAACATGAATATTATCAAGTCCATCATAACATTGTTAGAGCTTTTTGCTTGTTTATTTAACAAACTTAACATTTTTATTCAAGATTGTTTATTAACTTGACAAACAAGTTTTGACAATGAATAAATTGTGAATGTTCGGCTCATTTATAATAGAGAGGTGATCATCAATGGTCCATTGATCCGACCCACTAGCCTAATCAAGATCGGCTTCAAAAGTATTTTTAATTCAAAATCTAAACCCGATATGAAAAAAGTTCGTTTTAACCCAATAAACTTGATTTGCAGCCTTGGACACAAAAATTATCCATAGGAACGGTCCTACCCAACCAGATTTTTTATTACCCTATCAAATGAAGCCCATTACAACCTATTGCAGTTGATTATTCAAGTATGAAATTACTTTAATACCCCTGAAAACAATCACTAGCTCATTCACTACAAATACCCAACTAAAAACAGCATTTGCGTTATCATCTCCCTTTCTGACTCTCTATAAGAGCACTCACATCAGTGAGCATTTTTTTGCTCATGAGCAAAATTGATGAGCAAAAATAGGTAAAAAGTTACTACATCAATGAGCAAAGTATAAAATGCTCATGAGCATTTTAGAATTTGCTCATAGGATGAGCAAAATTAAAGGTGAACAGTAAAAGTGGGGCCCCACAACTCCTCCAAAGTGGCGCCATTTTCTTTTGCTTCTGAAACCCAAAATTATGAGTTTTGGGAAGTACCCACAACACCAAAACACGTCGTTTTGGATGGCTAAGAAGCAAAAAAAAATTAAGGACAGCCGCTGACAGGGCGCGTCAGACCAGCCATTGGGGAGCTGACACGCGTCCCTGTCAGCCCTCTTCACCCAATCAGATTTTTGTTACCGTTTTAAAAAGGTATTAACTCTAAACGGCTATTTTGACCGACTTGTAATTAAAAAAATAAAAAAAATAAAAATTACCAATGGTTATAAATTTTTTTTCCCTACAAATAGAGATCCATTTTGACATATTTTGGTATAGTTTCAAAATTCACAAAAATTGTAATTATTAATTAATAATTGTATAATTGTAATTTAGTAGCACTAAAATGTCATTAACCAAAACATAATTAATAATAATATGATGATGTGTAAGAGAGAGAAATGTTGGTGGGGTATATGAAAAAGTAGGAGATAGAATGATGAGCATTTTTTTATCACTAGTGGGATAAAATTTGCTCACCAAAAATGCTCATGGGTGTGGAGAGAGAGAAAGTGGCTAGAGAGAGAATGAGCAATTTTTTTTTGCTCACTGATGTGAGTGCTCTAAGAATTGCCGAAAAGGTAATGATCCGCTACACCGGTGGTGTACTGTTTGTGGTACTCCTGCTTTCGAGCTCGGTCGTTCATAGTCGTCCGATTTAGGATTATCTTATTCGGCTGCCGTCAATCATTCTTCGATAGTTGATCATGTTTTTGGTCGTAGTCATTGCCCGGTCTAATCGGATACTGCCGTACTGGCCGGAATCACAGGCATCAGGTAAATATTGTTTAACTTATTTTATTTTATCTAAGTTTATTAGCCATTATTTATACGAAGATACGAAGTACTTCGTTTCTTCTTTTAGTTGTTACACTATTCTTTTCACAGTCTCCTAGACAATTACTTGTATTTAAGAGGAGCGAGTTAGAAAGAAAAATAAAAGAAACCCACGTGGATAGAAAAGAAATAGAGAGAAAGAAATGTCAAAATTGAAAAGTGTTGTAACTAATTATGAAGTTTTAATTTGCAAAATAAAAAAATGTAGCAACTAAAAAGAAACGGAGAAAATATATAATAATATATACTCCGTACTTATCTAAACTTATACGGAGTATGAAATAATAATTGACCCTAATATTCGTGATGCATTATAGTTGTAGATTGGACTTGAATTTGCGTTGTTCAAATTATAGAACCTTATTTCGTACGGATGAATTGTACTATTAGCCTTAAAGAACAAGAAACCCTATAATGTTTGAACATTTATTTATTTTGTAGGAAGTTACTTCGTATTGTTTTTGGGTTATCAAGTTTTCGAATTATTTGATTATAATATGAAGTAATACGGTTGTTTTTTTGGTTATCAACCCTATAATTTCCTTTTAAAAAATCATTTGATTATAATACATAGTTACAATAAATAAATACAAAGTATAATTAAATAGTTAAAAACAATTGGTTGTTTATATGACGTTGATATGAAAAATCATAAATAATATTACATAAATTTTATACATAAAAACTAACAGTAAAATTAAACATGGCCCTGAAAAAAAAAATTAAACATATTCGGTCTCTCTCTCTCTCAAAAAAAAAAAAAAAAAGCATTGTGGATTTGTTGTTTTAATAAAGGCTTAAAATGATTTTATTTATCTGTCAAAAAAAATTATTTAATATATGTATTATCTTTTGAAGCCACATATTACAAAACCCTTTAATATAACCAAATTTAGGAAATGTATAAAAATTGAAGAGGAGATGATATGAAACACAAATTGATCAAAGGTAAATGTAAGAAAAGAATAATGGAAAAGTAGGTGAGGTTGTAAACATAAGCAAGAGGGAATTTTTATGAGGCTTTTTCAAGTGAAAATTTCCAACCATGAAAAGATCAGTATTTAACATCAAATAGATTTTCAATTAACTTAATTAGGTTATGTGTTAGTGTGTTAATGTGTTAGGCCCGTGTAACATAAATAGATTTTCAATTAACTTAATTAGGTTATGTATTACTGTGTTAGGCCCTGTTCACTTTATCTTTAAAAAATAATATCCAGTAAAAATAATTTCAACAAAAAGCCAAAAATAAGTTCAAATCAGTAAAAATCGATAACCTTAAAGAAGAAAAATAACTGAAAATCAGTAATCATAATTTCAATTCAGCAAAAATAATTTTAGTTCAGTAAAATTAATTTCACTTCCCCTTCGAAAAAAAATATTTCAGTTCAGTAAAAATAATTTCAGTTCAGCAAAAATAAGGCGAAGTAAATTGGGTCTTAGTGTGATTGTTTTTGCCATTTTCAATTAACTTAATTAGGTAAATTATGTGATATTGACACAATGCTATGTTATATCCTCCGCTCACTTCACCTTAAAAAAAATATTCAGTAAAAATAAGTTCAGTTCAGTAAAAATAATTTCAGTTCAATAAAATTAATTTTAGTTCAGTAATAATCAGTAATTTTAAAGAAGAAATATTAAAGAGAATCAGTAAAGTGATTTCAAGTCAGTAACATTAATTTCAGTTCAGTAAAAATAATTTCAATACAGTCAAAATAAATTCAATTCAGCAAAAATAAGGTGAAGTGAACAGAACCTGACTTTTATTCCGTTATTCGGTCTCGTGTAAAACGCGATGGTAATTGTGTTGCTTATTCTCTCGCTAAGCTAGTTCCGTTTGGAGTTAAACAAATATGGGAAGATCATTGTCCCCATAATGTTACTCCTTATGTACTCATGAACTCTTTGTCCCTTTAATTAATGCTAGTGAAGCTAAAAAAAAAGTTTTGTGTTTTTATGTGTACCATTTAGGTCTCCTTATATTTTAATTTCCTGTTGGTTGGGTCTATCAATAATGTGTATTTTATCAATTTATCTAATAAAATATGCTTGTTGTGGTAGGATTATACTGGTAATTTGGGGAAGATGTGACTAAACTGTCACTAAACAATATTTTAGCAGCTATATATACTCGGTTGGAAACTTCTAGTGTAATCGTCGGCTACAATCGACTATATATCAACTTATAAAAGTCCATATCATTGATGACTTGATGTGATAATATAAATCTTAGCCATCAATCTATTAATTACTCAAAAAAAAAAAAAAAAAAAAAAAAAAAGTTTGCAAAATCTTACTTTTTATTTTAAGTAATTGAAATCATGTCTGGTTTCTTGTTAGGGGTAAAATAGTGGTAATTTTGTAATTTTTTTATTACCCACTAATTCAAATTTAGCGATTAAAATGTTGTAATGATCATTTTAATGTGTTTGAACATGAG